TTCCACTAAACCACGTCCCTTAATATAGCATCTAAATGTTTCTTGAGTATAAGATTGCAGTTCAAGGAGGTAGCCAAGGAGCATCCAAATGAGAGGGGAACTCTCCTCTCCTCTCCTCTCCTCTCCTCCCTTCTATTTTCTCTCACTTTTCTCTTCTCTCCAAGCACCTGATGGAGCTGTGGATGTCCCTGTTCATTGCAGGGAGTGGGACCAGATGGCCTCAAGGGGCCCTTTCCAACTCAAATCATTCTGTGATTCTATGAACCAGGCTCCGATAGTCACTGGGGAGAGGAAGAGAAGCATTTGGGCATTTGGGCATTTGTCCTGTCTGTCTCTGGGGACAGACTGCTGGGGTGTGTGTCCTATGGGGAGAGCTTTGGATGGATCCTGCCTGTCCTTTGTGCTCATGAGAAACAGGAACCCAAAGTGATGTGTAGGAGCACTCTCAAATAGCTTTGATTCAGTAAAGGTGCCCTCACAGAAGACACTGTACATGATGCTTTGTGGGATTGCTTTTTCAGCATAGGTTATTGCTAAACAGCAGGAATAGGCTGAGAAATGAGACCTACCCAATATGAAACAGTGTTTTGGTAAGGTCCTGGGGTGGGCTGAAGGATAAACTTCCTTCTCCTTAGCAAATGAGCTGCTTGCACCCACTACAAAAATAATACAGAAGTACCTGTGACAAATTGGATGGAGAAAAAACAGTGCAACAAGGAATTGTCCTGGAGGCCATCATATCCCCCAGGACATCCAGGAGGAGAGAGTTGTGCTGAAGGTTCTCCAAGTCATCAGTATTTGGGAGTGGGATGGGGACAGTGGGGACTTCCTCACCAGTGGGCTCAGAGGGGCCAGGAGGAAAGTGGGGAGAGCTGAGCATCCCCTGCTGCCAGAGCGGTGCTCTTCTCCCCAAAAATGGAATCAGCCTTCAGAAGTTCCTTCCCCATTGTTCGATGTGGAATAAGCTGCCCCAAACCTTGTTAGCCTTGTGGCTTTCATAAGGACAAAACCACGGAGACTTTGATTTCTCCTACCTTTGTGCTGGCAGCCTGGGCTGTGGGTGTTCTCTCTTTCATTAAAGATGCTTAGCCTCCCCCTTGCTTTGATTCTGGCTGTATTTTGTGGCCACAATCCTCTGCAGCAGGCAGTTCTGCGGATTAATTAAGGCTTGGGTTACCGATTTATTTTATTTTTTAAGCAGTGCAAATAATTGTCTGTTGCCTTAGATTTGCATGATGTGAAAGAGGAAGCGAAAGCCCCGGTCAGTCTCCTTTGTGCCATTCAGCCTTTTGTCCCCCTCCCCTCTCTCCCATCTGAAGAGCACTCCTAATCTCCGCAGACTTTCTTTCTCTGAAAACCCTCAGCTCATTTTTGTCCCCCCCTTGCAGGATCTTTTTGATACGTGGCTCAATGCTCAATCAGGAGAGCGTTGGCAGCTTTCTTGGCGTTTAAATTTCATTTCTCTGTTTATCATCCTTAAAAATTACTTCTAATAGTTTTGAGAGCAGAAAGATCCCGAAGCACAGAAAGCTGTCAGGCCATTTTCCAAGAAGAACAAAAATCTTCTGGCGCCTAACGATGCGTGAACACAGCATGGCCAAGCATTGCATCAGCTAGGAAATGGCGAAGGTCGGAACCAGCATCCTCCAGACAGCTCTGCACAGGATGTCTGTCCTCCACATAAACAACCTTGAGATCAATACAATTTAGCATCACAGAATCACAGAGGGATTCATTCAGGCTGGAAAGGACCTCCAACCCATCCCAAGCACAGATACAGGTTGGGCAGAGAATGGCTTGAGAGCAGCCCTGAGGAGAAGGATTTGGGGGTGTTGGTGGATGAAAGACTGGCCAGGCTGGATGGGGCTGTGAGCAAGCTGGGCTAGAGGTGTCCTCTCCTACAGCAGGGCGTTGGGTCTGGCTGATCTTCAAAGTCCCTTCCAACCCAAACCATTCTGTGGTTCCATGATTCTATCCCACCGTGCCCACTGACCGTGTCCCTCAGTGCCACCCATTCACAGTTCAGGATCCCCTCCAAAATCGGTGACCCCACCACCTCCCTGGGCAGCCCATTCCCCATTGAAGAGATTTCGCCACATTTTGAGGTTTGTCCCATAGGGATGATGGATGCTGTCGTGGACTCTGCTGTGCATGGATCAGCAGCATGGGGCATGGCTCAGAGCACAAGTGATGCTTCCAACCCCACAAAGACCATATCTCCCAACCTTATCTCTCATAGGCTGCAGTCCTGGTCTGGACCTTTCTGAAATGTAGAAACCTGAAAATGCTGCGTAGGCAACTTTGGAAGACAGGCACAGGCTCAGCACCTTCCAGTATCCATCCCTGTGTCACTCACAGATGGGAAAATGACCTAAAGGAGAAAATTAAGAATATTTCAGAGACAACTGATGCAAAATCAGCTCTGAAAAATGTTCCATCAGTGTGTGGAGTTGGCTGTGTTCTCAGCTGTGCTAAATGGAATGGAGTTCAGGAGACGCCGCGATGCAGTGGCTGAGTCAAAACCAGTCGTCTGTGTCAGTGCAAAGAGCATTTGCTCAAATTGAATCAGCTGCTGTCATCCAGGAGGCTGGAAATAACCCAGCCACAGAAATGAACGTGTCGTCAGGGTTCACGCCGTCCATCAGCCACGTTGGGATCAGAGGGGATCAGCTTTCCTTTTAACATCTGCGATTCTGAAAGCATCCAACTCGTTGGCAATGAATTTCCAAGCAATTTGGGATGTCAGGCCCTTTGTAGGCCCTCTGCAGAGATGCTTCCAGCAGAACTGCTGCTCCCGAGTGCATCCCCTCGGCCAGCAGGGTGCTTCCATTCAGACCTGGGTGGCGGATGTATGAGTTGGCCAGAATCCTTTAAGAACGTGTAAAACAGCCACCACGAACCCAAGTTTAATCTACTTGGATATCTGAGACTCTTTCTGTAGGTTAACCATGCAAATGTGCCCCTTGACACTGTTCAGTAGAGAGATTTTGAGGGGTGGGAGAGCATCCTCTGTTCGTGGCTTTTGAGTTGCAGGGTTACTGGAAGCTGATGGACTTCATGAGTGATGGAAGAGCGTCAGTCAGGAAGAAAACTGTTCCATGCAAGCACAGCACTCCTCTTCTCAGGTCCTTCTAGAGTTGTCTCTGGGATGAGCTTTCTCTGGATAGGTGGCCCAAACCTGATGGGTTTTGTTTGGCTTCCATCTGAAGCCATAGACTCAGTGCCACAGGAAGGTGGGGAGCGCCCTCTGCTCCTGCCCACCCCGAATGAAGCGCATCTGGTGGTGGCAGTTTTCAAAGGATGCTTTTCAAATGCTCCTTGAGTGCCACCTGCTTTAGCCATCTCTGTCCCCCATGTACCCCTGTGACAGTCATCACCATCCTGATGCTGGCAGTGCTCAGTGCCTGTTGTTGACCTCATGGTTCCCATGAAAACCACATTGGGATCCGTGTGGAAAATTAAAGGATTTGGCACGCTAGACTTCTGAGTGCCCCACTGGAGACCTGGAGAGGGCTTTGGGAAGGGCTGGAATCCCACAGTGCCTCCAGATCCAACAGCAGCAGGGACAGAATTGGAAATGACTGGAACCAGTCTCAATTGCTCAAGGATCACTTCCTCCGAGGTCAAGATGAGTGCATCTGTAAGAGGATGAAATCAGGCTAAGGTGGATGAGCAACGAGCTCATGGGAAAATTCAAAGGGAAGAAGAAAGCCTATGGAATGGCCATTGGGAGGAATATCAGAGTGCTGTCAGGGCCTACAGGGATGCTGCAAGAAAGGCTGGAGCCCACTTGGAATTAAATCTGTTGAGGGAAGTCAAGGACAAGAATGACTTCTTTAGGTGTGTCTTAAGGGAGGACTGGGGGAAATGTGGGTCTGCTGCTGAATGAGGTGAGTGCCCTGCTAACAGGACACTGAGAGGGTGGACTTTCTGAACGCCTTCTTTGCTTCAGTTCTTTAGTGATGAGATTGCCCCTCAAGAATCCCAGACCCTGGAGGTAAGAGAGAGAGTTAGGGGAGAGGAAGACTTCACTTTGGTCAAGGTACATCTGGTCAGAGGTCTAAGGAAACTTGATGTACCCAAATCCATGGGTCCTGATGGGATGCACCCACAGGTGCAGAGTTGGCAGAAGTGATTGCCAAGCTGCCCTCTGTCATCTTTGAGAGGTCATGGAGAACGGGAGAGGTGCCTGAAGACTGGAGGATAGCCAACATCATACTAGTCTTCAAAAAGGGCAGTAAGGATCTGGGCAACTGCAGGCAGCCAGGCTCACCTCCATCCCTGGGAAGGTGATGGAACAGCTTGTTCTGGATGCCATCTCTAAGGAACTGGAGGAGAAAAAGGTTATCAGGAGTAGTCAGCGTGGATTCACCAGGGGGAAATCACTCTCAGCCAACCTGGTGCCTTCTATGGCTGGATAGATGGGGAGACAATACCGAAATAATTCCTTTCAAGCTTGTCAAACTGAGCACTTAAAATCATTGTGTGCTGTGGAGACACAAGGCACGCCAGTTTTTTTTAAAAAAAAACACAACAGTAATGTATGTCTCCATTAAGCTGGTTCCTTCCTAGGCAGTCTGCTGTCCCGACTTGCTCGCCTTGTTTCAGCTCTCCTCATCAGTGCCTGCTTTTCATTTTGCTGAAAGTAGGGCATGCACTTTTCTCTTGCTCTGTGCCCATTAATAATGCAGCAGAGAATAATGCTCTGTGTCCATTGCTGCAGTGCCTGCACTGAGCAGAATGGATGTTTCTAGCAGCAGCCCGGGAGGTGGGGGCTCAGTAGGGTTGTGCTTTTGTGCATAGGATGGGGGCTGTGAACCCTCTGTGCTGCTGCATCCTCCCGGCAGGAAGCATTGCTCTGCAGTGCATAGGCATGCACTGTATCATCTGCTTGGTCCTTTCCCTGCAGTTGTTGGCAAGAGGCTAAAACAAATCCAGAAGATGCTGGGAAGAGATAGACCTGCAGAGGTGTTAGATAGTCATGGCTGGATTGAAACCTCTGTGGGTGACAGCTTCATGCACAGGAGATATTTGCTGTTCCTGGATGCCTCTCCAGTTCACCTTTTGTGCAGTTTTAAGTGATGGATTGTCCGTGGATTGGTGATTCAGTGTGAGGGACATCAAGCTCCTGGCCAGCTCAGCCCCAGATTGCCATGACTGTTTGGTGGATCCAGCATGGAGAGAGGAAATGGCTGAGGAAGGGTCAGTAGACCCTCTGAATGAACAGTCTCATCAGTCCTGGGTGTGCAGTCGGGTGGTGAAGGTGAATCTTGATTTTGAGTGTTAAGAACTGCTGATCGTGGAATCACTGAGGTTGGAATCACTAAGGTCATCGAGTCCAACCAGGGACCCACCACGCCGTGCCCATGGCTGTCTGTAAGAACAAGCAGGGTCATTCCCTCGGGTTTCATCCCCTCTTCTGTGTGCACACAGTGGGGCAGAGCTGACGTAGTGCTGTGGCTCTGGAGGCCATGGGGAGCTGAATAGTTCAGTGCAGAGAGCCTGGCTGCTGAGCTTACAATAAGAATTAGGACAGCTCCATAGTTTCAGAAGAAAAATGGACAGGAAAATACCCATTAAGCCTTTCCTAGAGGCAGTGGCTCTGTTAGGGCTCTGCTTTCTCCATAGATGTGCTTTCACCTTAAATTTAATGGCAGCCCTTGCATCGTAGCGTGGTAGAATATCCCAAGAATGCAGAGAAAACTACCCCAAACCACGCTTCTACCAGCTCTCCTTCCAGAATTTCCCAAGACCCCACTGATGGGGTGGGATGCTCATAGCAGCAGTACCCACCACATGGGACTAGAATGCAAATAAAATGCCTTGTACTCCTCTCACTGGGGTTTCCAGCTGGAAAACATGAGGGACAGCTGTTCCTTGTCCCCATGCACAGGGACCCACCCAATCCTGCCTTGTGCTGCATCTTGTGTTGCCTTGTTTCAGTGCTTCTTATGCACATAGACACTCTATCACATATCTGTTGGCTTGAAGTCGTGATTCAGTATGTGTTTATTGCATCAAAGCATCTAAGCTGCTGCTCTGAAAAGCCATAAGTCCCCAGAGGTGTCTCCAGGGATGTCCTCAAAGCCACCTGTGTTGGCTGTGTCCCCCATGTAGGTCTTCAGACTGGTCTCTTGGCTCAGGAGAGTTGTCACTTCTGTGGGGTTTAATGGGGAGGTGAAAGGTTTAATGGAAGAGGTGATGGGTTATATGGAGGAGATAATGGGTTATATGGAAGAGGTGATGGGTTATATAGAGGAGGTGATGGGTTTTGTGGAAGAGGTGATGGGTTTTGTGGAGGAGGTGTTGGGTTATATGGAGGAAGTGATGAGTTCACTAGGAAACACTGCACAAACCATCCCACCATGGGATACCCCAGTATGAAATTCCTACATGTATTTGTCCTAAAAGAGGGAAAAAAAAGGAGGAGGGCAGCAAAGTGGTTCCAGTGGGCCATGAATGGGGATGGCCATGTCTTCCTTGCTCTAATGTTTCTCTTCTTTCTCACTCAAGCTACACTTCTGATGAAGCAAGCCTGGCCACAGACCTCCTCCTCCTGTGCCACAGAGGGCACCTTCCACCTCCCAGTGGACACTGGGACCGAGAACAGAACCTACCAGGCTTCTTCTGCAGCATTCAGTAAATAAACCTTTTCTTCTGGGGTTTTTCTCAGTTGTTTTGTGCTGGAGGGTTTAGCTCTGATGTTCAGTGTCCCTCTGCAAGGCTGCAGAGGATCTCATGTGGGTGAAATACCCATCGCAGGGTGTCTGCTCTCATACCAGTAGGAGGTTTGGGTGTTGGGAAGTCTTTCTTTTGGAAAAGGGGTGTCCCTGTCATTCTGTGCAGCAGGGGCTGTAACCCCAACATGGGATGTGGGCTCTGCATCATAATTTCAGTGGCCAGAGTGTAACTGGTAGAAGCTGAGGTATCACTCAGCAGTTTTCCCTTGCAGTTCAGCACATGCCTGGATGCAGTTTTCCTCCCTGTTGTGCTGCTGCAGTTGAGATTCCTCCCTTAAAATCAAGGGGAACAAGAGCTGAGCTGCAGATACCAGGGTAGGAAAGGATTTGGGGGAAAAGAGTGGGATGAAGAAGGTGGTGAGGAGCCTTGGTGGCAATGATGGAAGCAATGGGGTTGGGTGAGCAAAGGGGTGAGGACAGGAATGGGGAAATGGGAAATGGGGTCCTACAGCCCCTCATGGCCCTATAGCCCTCATGGCCCTACAGCCTCTCATGGCCCTACAGCCCTCATGGCCCTACAGCCCCTCATAGCCCTACAGCCCCTCTTGGCCCTACAGCCCTAATGTCCCTACAGCCCCTCATGGCCCTACAGCCCGTTATGGCCCTACAGCCCTCATGGTCCTACAGCACCTCATGGCCCTACAACCCTTCATGGCCTTCCAGCTCCTCTGTTTCTGTTACCTGGAAGCTGATCCCTTCCCCCACCACCTCTCAGGAGTTGTATGGCCATAAGGTCTCCCCTGAGCTCCTCTGCTCCACACTGACAGACCCATCCCAGTTCTCTCAGCCACTCTCACAACGCTGTGCTCCATGGACATCATCAGCAAAGCATCACATTCTGCAGTCGTGCCCCTGGGGTGAATGGTGCAGAACTCAGCACAGAGCTTTCATCCTCACCTCCCCTCGTTCCCCGTCACCCTTAGGATAAAAATCTGTGCAATTCAGTGCAATTTTGCACTGTGGGATCCACGGGGTTGAGATTTCTGGGGCGGCGTGAGGGATTTAATCATCAATTTTAATAAGAGCTGGAGCTCCTACGCTTGCTATTGCTTTTCATTAAAATCCCAGCCCTCTGTGGAACCACAGCACGGGCCGGGTGAACTCCTAATCCTCCTAAGGCGTTAGGTTGTCATAATCAGGCTTTAAAATTAGCTGTCAGACATGCCTTTTCTGAGAGGAGCACAAATCATTGTGTGACATCAAAACTTGGCTATGAGCTGCTTTTACCTGCAAACCAGTGCGGATTGCTCGCTTTTTTCCCCCCTCGATTTATAAATGATGAAGGTTGCATCTGCCTGGGCTGTTGTGTTTTTTAATATAGCAATTAAATTGTCTTTCAGCAGTGGGGAAACTGCAGCATGGTCCAGTGTCCATCCGAAGGGGGCTGAGGGTTGGTCTTGTGGCCCTACAGCTCCTTACGGTCCTATGGCTCTTCATGACCCTACAACTCCTCATGGTCCTGCAGCTCCTCGTGATGGCCCTACAACTCCTAATGGCCCAACATTTCCTCATGTCCCTACAGCCCCTTATGGCCCTACAATTCCTCATGGCTCTACAACTCCTCATGGCACTACAACTCCTCATGGCCCCACATTACTCATGGTGGCCCTACAACTCCTCATGGTGGCCCTACAGCTCCACATGATGTTCCTACAGCTCCTTGTGTCCATACATGGCCCTACAGTCCCTCATGGTGTCCCTACAGCTCCTCATGGCCCTACAGCTCCTTATGGTGTCCCTACAGCTCTTCATGGCCCTACAGCTCCTCATGGTGTCCCTACAGCTCCTCATGGCCCTGTACCTCCTCATGGTGGCCCTACAGCTCCTCATCACCATACAGCTCCTTGTCGCCCTACAGCTCCTCATGATGGTCCTAAAACAGGATGGAGTTCTTCCCATGGACCCTCCAGCACATGGAAGCTCCAGCACAGGGTTCCCCCTCTCTATTCCATTCCATTCTGCACTCTGCCATGAGTCTCAGGAAGGGAATCAGAGCCTTTCTGTTTAATTAACACTTTCATTCCAAATCTGCAGCAATCAGAAGGCCGCAAGATGCTGTCTGCAGTCCCTGGAAAACTCCTTGTTATCTTCACACTGAGTATTAGCAAACTTGAAATCTTGTCCTTCGTTAATTGTTGTGTTGAGTGCTGATGGAGTAAATGGGTTCATTATGTCTGAGTGTTGGGGTGCCTTGAACTTCTCCTCTCCATCCTGCTCAGTGTTTGGGGCCCAGCTTTAAGAATTCTTGAGTATTTTCCCCCAATTTAGCGCTGGAGAATCATAGAATCATAGAATCACCAAGGTTGGGAAAGACCTCCAAGATCATCCAGTCCAACCATCCACCTACCACCAATATTTCCCACTAAACCATGTTATTCAGCATTGTCCCACCAGTGGGATCTGTCCCTTGTATGGCGTCAACAGAGTGAGTTCCTTCTTGTCCTTCCCTGCAAGAGTGACCTCAAAGCCACTGAGGCTTTAGAAGTAGAATCATAGACTCAAAGTCATTGAGGTTGGAAAAACCTCCAAGAGCCCCAAGTCCAACCCCAGCCCAACCCCAACCCAACCCCAACTCCACCAATCACGTCCCCAAGTGCCACATCTGCCCTTTTCTTCAGTGGTCCAGGTTGCTCATAGGAATCATAGGATCTTCCTCCATAATAACCATTGAGGCGTTGGAGCTTCGGAGAGAACTCTCACCTGGAATGGAAACACAAAAGTAGAGAATTAATCCTCCAGCATCTCCTTGCTCCACACAGGGTCAGCAGGTGCCAGCTCAGCTGATATGATCACGGTGTCCTTTGTTTGGGATGGATTTCCCCATGTTGTTTGGGATGGATTTCCTCATTTCGGAACGGATCCTTCACTTTAATTCATCAGCTCAGCACCTATCAAATGCTTTCCTCAGAGCTCAGCAACGTGCACTCACTACAGAGCTAATGGCTTCTCCTAATGGCCACAGTGCAGACTTGCTGCTCTTGTCACCAGTGCACAGAGCCTGCAGATACAGAGGTGCTGGAGGAGCAGCTGTTGTCATGAAGGGACCTTTGGAGGCACAGGGACTCTTTTGGTGGTGATAAACAAGCCTCACGTCCCCAGAAGGTTCTTAGGGACATGAAGGGACCAGCATGGTGGGTTTGTGGGTTTGGGCATTTGCTTTCTGGTTGCTTGAACTCTGATAATGCCATCACGGTACCATGCAGCTATAGAGCTTGCTCTCTGCTAACATACCTGGAGAGAAGCTGGGTGGCACAGCCCCACAGCTGAATGGAAGGAGAGCCTTTCCCCTCCTCTTGCTGCTCTTTGGGGGGATGTGACAGCAGTGCTGCCCTGTGAAGCGAGATCCCACAGCAGTGAAGTTCTTTTATTCACTGCACCCCTAGCAGGAAAGGTGTGAGGACAAAAACGTGAGGAGGAGAGAGGGGAAGAGACTTAATTTCGGGAACTAGAGCTATTGAGACATACAAGTGGGTCTGATTCCGCAGCCTCAGGCTGCATGGAGTCCTGTGGGGCCATGCATTGCCTTTTTTGTGCTGAGACGTTGGGTGCTCATTGACCTCGTGTAGGCAGCAACTTGGAGGACAGATTGAAGCCCTTTCCAGGCAAGAACAGCTGTATCCAGCCCTCGGAATGCTGCTGACACCTGAACAACTCCAGGCAGCGGATTTGGGGCTGGGTGCCCTGTTTTGCAGAGGGAAGAGCCAGAGGAAGGATCCTGCACTGGGTGGCAGTGGATGCAGTGGCTTGTGAGCATGGGGTTGGGATGTTTGTGATGCTGGTGCTGCCCTTGGCAGCTTCTCTCAGCTGTGAGGCTGTTTCCCCCCTCAGTAAAACTCCCTGCTGCCCATGGTCCATCCCCTTCGCTCTAAGTGATGCTGCAGCTGCATCCCTCCTACCAACAGTGAATCTCCCAGCCAAGCCCCAGGGGGCAGCAGGACCTGGGGCCAAAGTTTTAAGCCCTGTGGCTGTCTCACCAGCTGTAAACCTCCCCCTCACCCCCTCTGCTTTGGTCTTTCTTTGCCAGGGTACACTGCGGGGACTCCCTACAAGGTCCCACCGACCCAGAGCAACAACGCGCCTCCTCCCTACTCTCCGTCTCCGAATCCGTACCAAACTGCTATGTACCCCATCAGAAGTGCCTACCCACAGCAGAACCTGTACACCCAGGTACGTGCCTCACTCTGCATCTCCCATCACCACCTGATATCTTCCCTGGAGTCCTTTCCTCCCCAAATCCCACACCTGAATGTTGAGGCTCAGGCGTCGATGTCATACCTGAGCTTGGGGTCCCCATCCCAGTGGTATCTCCATGCCTTGCCCTCCTGCTTCCCATGGACCTCCATGTCACCTTCACCAGCATGGCCCAGATCTGTGTTCCTGAGCACCTGGCTGGGCTCCCAGTTCCATCTTCCCTGTTCCAGCATTGCCACTGCCTCCAGCCATGTGCCACAGCCAAGACCCCATGTTGGACAGGTGTCCTCCAAAAATCTCCTTGCTGCCCCTTCCTGCAGGAGATAATGAGCTCCTTGCAGCATTCTGGCCCTGCAGCTTTCCTGGCTTCTTTCCTTCCACTGAAATGGCAAATAGGACTTCTCCTGCAGCCGTGACCTGGTTTCTCCATGCCAAGCTGAGCCCGGAGCATCTCCTCTGCTCCATTTTGTCCACTTATCTTCCATTAGCTGAGCACAGGGGAAGCTGTTGGGGTCAAACTTGTGCTCAGGTGCTCTCTGCTGGTTCTTGACATGTTTCCCATCAGCTGGCATAAAAGCTGGCAGCAGTTTTGTCACCAGGCCCAGGTTGCTCTTTGCCACCACCGGGACTTAACCCTATGGGCTGACCCCTGCTGTGCTGGAACGAATGGAGCCTGGTGTTGAGCACAGGCACTTTGCAAGGAAGATGCTGGCTGGTGAGATGAGCACAGGCAGGGGAAGGCTGAATCATAGGATCGTAGAGTCACCAAGGTTGGAAAACACCTCCAAGATCTCCCAGCCCAACCATCCACCCACCACTGGTATTTGCCCATTGAAGGTTGTGTCCTGTCCTGATCCCGAGCCGGGCATGCAGCTGCATCCCAGGAAGGGCATCAGCTGCTCCATGCTCTGCTCTACCAGAAAGGTTTCTGGCTGATTTCTGTCCCCTTCCTCATCTCTCTTGGCATGTCCCCAGTGTAATGCATTGTGCCTACAGTCTGCCCTATCAGCCTGAAAGGAAGAAGTAATCTGATAGTTCATCCATTTCTCCTTTCCCCCCTTCATCCATACCTGTAGGGCTTCTCCCACGCCTGTCCCAAACTGCAATCAGATCTCCCCTCATTGTTCTCAGCCCTCTGATCCTTCCGACCCTCCCTGTTCTCGTCGCACTGCACTGCTCACGTTTCGGGATCGCTGTTAACATGGCATGTGGGGCTTTCTCTGTTGGCCCCTTTCTTTTCCTCCCACCCATTTTCTCCCCCTTGTTTCCAACTCCCTCGGATCTCAGCAGCCTGGGTTTCAGAGCCCCTCTGTCTCCTTTTGGAAACCTGAGGAGATGGTGCCCCCTTTTGTGTGCCCACTTCCCGCGCCGAGGCAGGTCCTTTGGGATCAGATGGGGCCACAGTTCCTCCTTTCCTTCCATCTCTTGCTCGTTTTGCATGCCAGAAGCCAACATATTTTGGACCCAGCCCCATTTCATCCCATCAAACCATGCAGCATGCTTCATGAAACTATGGGATTGTTAAGGTTGGGAAAGACTGCTTATTCCATCGAGTCCAACCCAGTTGACCCGTTGCAGCCATGCTCCCTACCCATGGTCATAGAATCATAGAATTGCTCAGGTTGGAAAAGACATTAAAGATCATCAAGTCCAACTGCAACCCAGCCATCCTACCCTAACAACCCTCCTCTAAATCATGTCCCTGAGCACCACATCCAAGTGGTTTTTAAACACATCCAGGGATGGTAACTCAACCACCTCCCTGGGGAGCCTTTTCCAGTGCTTATGGCACTGGGGCTGGCTTATGATGCCAACCTCATTCCCGCGGGAGGAATAAATAAATCCTTCTGTTTGAAATTGTCCTGGGGAAAAGGATGGAGGCTGGAAGAACTTCTAGAGGATAGGAAAAAACATGTGGATTGGGGGTTTCTCTCCCATGTCCTATGCTGTGCTCGAGCTGTGGGTGCCCCATCCATTGAGACCAGCTGTGCCAATACACGAGCGGGACGTGGGCTTTCTGTGGGATGACAGCGCCGGTGGTGTTTTCCCTTTCTCAAAACAGGGAGCTTATTATACCCAGCCAGTGTACGCGGCACAGCCTCACGTTATCCATCACACCACTGTGGTTCAGCCCAACAGCATCCCGTCGGCCATCTACCCGGCCCCCGTCGCTGCGCCCCGGACCAACGGCGTGGCCATGGGGATGGTCGCTGGCACCACCATGGCCATGTCAGCAGGTAAGAAGCTTCCCTGTGGCCCTGCAGATCCAGAGCAACCCACGCAGGCAGAAGTCAATTAATTTGCACCTTGTGCTGATGTCACTCATGGCTGTGAGGTCGCAGAGGAACTCTTCCATTTGTTGTGCCCTAGAGGGACACGCTTTTGCACTCTGTTCCACAAATAAAGCAACAGCCAAGCTTGCCTTTCTCCACCCCCAGTTGCATTTCTACCCTCGAGCTCTTTGTTAAGACACTTCTGCTCCTGCTGCACGCACTTAATGAAACAAGCATTAACCTTGGTTTACACATCACTCTCAAATCCCGTGTGTTGTGTGCACGGGGTTATTTCAGCCCTGGTAAAAAACGTGATGAACTGATGACACATTAAGGCACTGAGCAAGGCTATGGGCCGTCTTTTTTTTTTCCAAACCTTGTATTTCTCTCCTCAGCAGTTCTTCACGAAACAATTCGTAGCATTGTGCACTGAATTATGCAAAGAAAGGCATTGTTCACCCATTTGCATCTGCAGTAGCTGAGAAATAGGGCTCTGTTGACTCCCTGTTACACGGAGGGATTGCAGCCTGTGCCTCACAAGAACCACTCTGAGATATTCACTACTGTTGCTTGCACTGAGAAGTGGGCAGATCTAATTAATGCATGTAGGATGCCCTAAAGTTTCGAGCACCCCATTACTCTTAGAGCAGAGACATTTGAGACTGTACTCTCCCTTTTTGTGTCTGCTGAAGGCACCGTGCACGTTCTCACTTGGAACCCCCAACATACCATGGCTCAGAGAGGAGGGGGATGCTCCTGGTGTGCCCCTGGGCTCTCTGAGGTCTGCTCCTTGGGGCTCTCCAAAGCCTCTTGGACGCGGTGCTGGGTTAGCAATCCCTTCTCACCACCCCTGTTCTGTGATACCTTCACGCCAAGCCTTTCTCCTCGCTGTCACTGCAGGAACCTTGTTGACCACCCCACAACACACTGCCATCGGAGCACATCCAGTTTCTGTGCCAACGTACCGGGCTCAAGGAACCCCCACCTACAGCTACGTACCGCCGCACTGGTAAACCCACTGGCCAAGTCATGTAAGTGCTGCAGGAGAACTCCCCTCCTTCTGCCTCTGGGACACGGGGACAGAACCATGGGCAAGCAGCTACAGCCACACCAGCCCCTACTGCAGGCTGCTTGCCCAGGGGATGCTCCAAGTGGATGTTAGGTTGCATATTGGGAAGAATCTCTTCTCCAAAGAGCAGTCAAGCAATGGCACAAGCTGCCCACAGAGTGGTGGGGTGCCCATCCTCAGAACTGTGGGGATGTGGCACTTGGGGACGCGGTCATTGGGCATGGTGGGGTTGAGCTTGGTGGTCGTAGAGGTCCTGCTGCCCACTGCCAGGCACTACCTGTGAGCAAGTGTTGCATTTCATGCACGCTGAGCGCACAGGACAAAGAGGACATCCCTACCTGTGCTCCTAACCCCTCTGCAACGTGTCTGCTCTCTTCCAGATCCGAAGTCAAACATTGTATGCAACTACACAAGTCTTACATCGGGGCTGCAGCCGCTGGACTGCAGCACCTCGTCTGTTTGCAAGAACAAAAGAAAAAAGTGCAAGGGTCACTTTATGCATTCTTTAGTGGTTTTTGTAAAAGCTGCTTTTTCTAATCTTCTGCCTCTTTATTTTCCTTCCCTCCTCCCTCTCCCCTACCCACATCAGTCGTGTAACACATACTGACACTGAGCAATAGTAAAGTTCTCTCTTCGGTCCTATCGTTTTACAGCTCAGAATATTCACTTTTCAGCATTGCCCAGTCGAGTGGTGCAAAGATCCCCACTTCTTGTTCGTTTGGGTTCTTCTCATCCTTTTTTATTATTATTATTTTTGTTGTTGTTGTTGTTGACAAGAGCCTAGGTTTTCTTTGACTAGTAAGAGTGGTTGATGTTCAGGGTACTATGTGAAAAGCACAGCGCTGGTAGGCAGGCTTATTCCAATTTGGTTTGGGTATTTTTAGTTGGATAATATAAATTATTTAATCTTCCTTAACGTATTACAGGAAAATTGGTGTCTTCCAGATAGCTGTCGTGATAGATGATAATGCATTATCTGCAGTGAAATGCTGAACTCATCCCTTCTTTTGTAGGAGTAAGAGAATATAATTAGCGACGTAACACGCTTGTTTTAGGAAGTAGGAGGACTGTTCACCATTGGGTCTGCTTTTCAAAACTGGGCAGAGGCATTTGGTGCAAGGGGAATGGAGTGGCAGCGATGCCTTTGGGAAGGTGAGATGCTCTGTGCTGGCCGTGTCCCAGCATGGGCAGCTCTTTCCTGGCCACTGCTCGTGGGCAGAGGTGTGCAGGGATGCTGTGGATGGGAGAAGAGAGATTTCCAGGCTGGAGAGGCTCTACAGAGCCTGGGGATTTGGGAAAGGAGGTTGGATGGAGAGGAGCCTTCGTGGAGGTTGAGGTGCTCCCATTCTTTGGGCTCTTTGGATTGGGGCCAACAAAGGTTGAGCCGAGCCCGAGTCCTGGCATTGTGGAGACAGCTGGTTGGGCTGGGAGATAGTAGGGGTAAGGAGCAGCAATAGCAATAAAGTAATCTTCTGCATCTGGAGGCAGCATGAAGCTGTTCCTGGGTCCTCTGGGTGTCCCAGTCAAACGGACAGCACTTGCAGGCAGCTGGAGCTATTTTTCAATTCTTACCCCCAAAACACAGCATAGAAATGAAAGTTTTTCTTCTTTTTTTTTCTAAGAGAAAAATGTAATCATCGTCGTTTTGCTTTTTGATGGTTTTCCCTCCACATGCCAAAGTAGCTCCATCCATCCATCCATCCATCCATCCATCCATCCATCCATCCATCCTTGCAAGTGGTCCCAAGGAGCCATCCAGAGCCTTGCAAGGAATTGGATCCTTCTCGATGGGAATCAGTCCATAAGGAGAGAAACCTTTGTAGGGACCCCAAAGGACTGGGGGCCGCTGGTTGTCGGGTCAGTGGGGGCCAGTTGGTTGCTTCTTCTGCTCTTAATGGAAACCCAGGCAAGCTCCAATTGCCCTCGGTCAGAGGACAGAAAGGACACCAAGTGGTGAAGCCTCAACACCAGCACTGTGGGTGGAGGAGGTCATGAGGGTTTCCACCACATAGTTCATTGTGTTGCACTTTCATTTTGTATAAAACGGAGAAAAAAGAAAAAAAAAAAAAAAAAGTTTAAAAAAAAAAAGAGGTAATTAATCACAGTGTTGCCCCTGTTTAGCTTTGGAAAGCCTCCTTGCCTATAGGGTCAGCACTTAAAGGGAAGGGGGACGTTTGGAAGTAGGGAAACCACATTGTCCTCTGTAATGTGTTGCAATTAAACATGGGCTAAAAAAAAACAAAAACAAACACACAAAAAAAAAAACACAAAAAAACCCAACCCACCATTATAATAAATCACAGGAACCGAAGAGCTCTCAAATACTTTTTTAAAAAATTTTTTTGGCTCTCACAATGTTGTTGACTTAGTGTTGGAATGCTCAATGTATCAGGAGCTGTCTGTTGGTGCTGGAACGCGTTGTTGTGACAGAAGAAAGTCGTTAGCAAATTAACAGCACTGCAGTGAGTCCCAACACTGCCTAGGGTTGCTCACCCATCGCTGCGCTGGGAGGAGCTGTCTGAATTATCAGCCTTGGCCAGGAAGATGTGGGGTGTGCTGCTGAAAGGAGAGAAAATGCTGAATTTGAGGGGTGAAGTGCCATTCATGGCACAGAGGAACCCCCAGATGGACACAGCCTCCTCCTCAATATGTTTTTTTAAAGGCATTTTTTAAGTTCCCCCTAATCAAAGCTCTGAATTTCAGGCTTGGTCTAAAAATGACAGATTTTTCATCAAAACAGGCTGAGGCTATAAAGTAAAAGGGAAAAGGGGAAACATCTCCATCTGTTACCACAAACGAGACCTGATGAGGGTCAGGTGGCTTTATTTTAATTCCTCTGCTTGGATCAGTGGCAGATGTCATGAATCTTCCCCACTGTGCTTGGGTAGAAATACCCAGTGGTGCCGTCATGGGGTGAAAAGGTGAACCTTGTTGTGGTGAGCCCATCTTGGGACTTGGGCTGTCCTTGGGGGGCTTGGGAAGCCCTCTGGGGAGATATTCGATTCCCTTTCAGGGTGGTTTCCCCAGTGGAATTTGTTTGGGAAGAAGCAGGTTGGGAAGTCAACCCATGAGCAGGTTGGGAAGTCAACCCATGAGCAGGTTGGGAAGTCAACCCATGATGGGGTAGAGCGTGGTGCGAGTGTAGGACCGAGGGGTGAGTAGGAAATGGTTGTGCTTTGAGCAGCCTCCATCCAGTTCCCATCATGGGATAGAGTTCTCCAACCCAACTCATCTCGTTCCATGATAGCAAGGTGTAGTTTGGGATGTCCATCTGAGGTGTTGAAGGATTTCCATTGCTAACCTTGACCTCTGGCACCTTTAGGACAATCTGGGAGGGACAGAGTTGTGGGATTGTAGGGTGGGTTGAAGCTCGGGTCAGTTCTTTGGGTAAGAATTTGCTCCTGAAGGTGCTGCCTCTTTCTCTGTTGACATTCCTCATGGTGAGATAAAGGAACCCAGCTGGACTCTGTCACTCTGCTGTCCCCACTGCTGGGGTGACAAAGCTCCCTGGGGTTGACACCGTTGGGGACACCCAAGCATCACACGCCAGCAGCGCTGTGCTGCAGTTGGGTTGGTTATGGTGAAGGTTGGTGAGCAGGAAGAAAATGGATTTCCTTCACTGAGGGGGACAGGGCTATGCTCTACCAGAGCAAGAGGAGGTTAGGATGTCCCTGGGGGTAATGGAGGCAAAGCAAAACTCCAGGAAGAGGGGGGGGGAAGGTCTTAAGAAAATTGTTAACAAACCACAGCTGTGGCCATTACCCAATCCCACCTATGACTTTTGCATTACAACGCACTGCAATGCAGGACTCAAAGGCTGTGCTGCCCCAACCCCACACAAAGCCCAGAGCCCCTGGGCAGCAACAACCCCGTAAAGCTTCTTTGTAGCTTGGGTGTGTAATTTAAGCACTTTTTACCGTGTTATGTAAAGTTTTTTGGTTTTTTTTTTTTTGTTTTTTCTTGGTTTGCTGACGATGTTTGCTATTCTTGAGGTGCATGGTGGGTGAAAAGTGGTCCCCAGTGGGGCTGGGCAGTGAGGTCATACCGAGAAACTCCTCCCATTTGGGGTTTGCATTCAGTGCTCAAATCCAACCAGCCAAAGACAGCAATAAGAGCCGTTGTGTCCTCGTAAGTCCACTTCTTAATTTTATTTGGTCAAGCCATCAATATTTTCAGTCCAAGTGAGGGCTGCGGTTCCTTCCGCCTCTGTCACCCTGATGTCCTCCCCATGGCTTTAACCCGTGGCAGTTTGCTTTCCATCTCTTTCTTTTCCCTATTCCTTTTGGCTTTTGGCTCCCCATGGCCCCAACACGCTGTTGCTCTGCTATAGGGAAATATAGGGCAGAAAGCCTGGAAGGGAGTGAGGAAGGAGAGCTGTGGCAAGGCATCACGCCATTTGGCACTTACAGAGTCACCAGCAATCAGGTGATGATGGATTTTTTGGAAAACAGGAATAGCAAAAGATGTCATCTGATGGCAACTTTCCCCAACTGGATGTGATGAGTTTGTAGGAAAACGCCCAACGCGACGCCTCAGCATTGCATCCTTGGGATGGAGCTGCAGGGCTGCAGCCATTGGGAGACATAGCGAGGAAGGGGAAAAGGGGCACGGCGGGGCACCCCAAAACCGCCCCCCAAAACCACAGAGCCTCCTCGTGCCCTAGCACCGAGCAGAGCAAACCCAACCCGTGCGCCCCATCCCATCTTTCTGTATCATTTCTTGACCCGTTCTGACCAACGGGACAGCTCGGATCAGCTCGTTTTTAAATAGTATTGGAACTCTTTAAGCAAAAATATATATACGTATTCAAAAATACATAAATACAAAAAAAAAAAAAAAAAAAAAAAAAAAAAAAAAAAAAAAAAAAAAAAGAGTAAACATGTCTTCCAAGTCTCCACGGTGTGTAGGGAACATGGCCTCGAACTGACGCGTTGGGAAGCCCCGCAGCCGCGGCTTGTGACTATGAAGTGTAAATCTGGGTTTTCTCATTTGTTTTCCGTTCCGTTTTCGTTCTGAAGATCAGTTCGTGATCTCCCTGACAGATTTCAGCCAAGAGTTTGTAACTGTACGATATTTACTGTAAGATGTAGAACATTCGATAACTATTAAAATGTTTCCAAAAAAAAAAAAAAGAAAAAAAAGAAAAAAAGGAAGAGGGTTGGTGGATTGCTTTTGGTTTTTTTGGAGTTGCGAAGCGATGGGGTTCCACCTCCAAACCTGCCCCCAGGTGGTCGGTGGGGCTGGAAGGAGCCCAACCCGTGGGTTGCCCCATGTCCCAACGTGACCATATGCCCCCAGGTGGTTGGTGGGTCTTGAGGGACTTCAAAGCATGGGTTGTTTCATGTCCAAGCATGGCCACCTGCCCCCAGATGATTAGTAGGGCTGGAAGAATCCCAACTCATGGGTTGTCCCATGTCCCAATATGGCCATCTGTCCCCAGGTAGTTGGCAGGCCTCGAGGGACCCCAACACGTGGGTTTTCCCATGACCCAACATGGCCATATGCTTCCAGGTCTTGAGGGACCCCCTCCCATGGATTGTCCCATATCCCAACATGGCCAACTGCCCCCAGTGGTTGGCGGGCCATGTGGAACCTCAACACGTGGATTGTCCCATGACCCAACATGGCCAAATGCCCCCAAGTGATTGGCAGGCCTTGAGGGACCCCAACATGTGGATTGTCCCATGACACAACATAGCTATATGCCTCCAGGTAGTTGGCAGGCCTTGAGGGACCCCAACACGTAGGTTGTCCCATGACCCAACATGGCCATATGCCTCCAGGTCTTGAGAGACCACCTCCCATGGATTGTCCCATATCCCAACATGGCCAACTGCCCCCAGGTGGTTGGTGGGCCATGAGGAACCTCAACACGTGGATTGTCCCATGACCCAACATGGCCATATGCCTCCAGGTGGTTAATGAGCCTTGAAGGACCCCAACCCACAAGTTGACTCATGTCCCAATAGGTCCAGCATGGTCCTGTAGCCTTGAGATAGGGTTAGGGATTTGCCTACGGGAAGAATCATGGGGGAGCTCCATGGTGATGCTCCCCAATCATTTAATCTCCATCCCTGCAGCCCAGCAGATGAAGAAGGTGTCCATCAAGCACTGTCTTTGTCCCCAACCTCAGCACCATGAGGCACAGAGCTGGGTGCTGCTCTCCACGGGGTCAGCAGAGCCATGGGCACAATGTGGGATCAGCTCCCACGTGGTCCCACGCATGCGTCTAAGGCCACCACTGCTGTCCTGCTGCTTTGCTCAGCCCCACAGGATCCTTTGGGTGTCACTGTCCCCACATGGCCACCTCTGGGTCAAGTGACATCTGCAAAGGACAAGGGACCATGTGCATCTCCAGCTGAGGATAGATTGAGGTGGCAGTGTCACAACCTGTGGCTGTCACCATGCTATGGAGAAGGACATCCCATATACCTCATGCAGCAGCTGCTCTAGAAACCCCATAATGATGTTGAGACCACTTTTTGGGGGTGGTCAGGATGAACCCAAATGGGCAGAGCCCCCCTCCCATGTCCAGGTATCCCCACTGGGAGTGGGGGAAGAAAGAGGGGAGAGAATAGAAGCACCAAACCCCATCTTCTTTCCCTAAAACAGAGCTCGTTTATTAACGACATTCTCTCCAGCAACAGAGCCAGGAGGCTTAAAATAATTTAAAAAAAATTAAGAAAATACAACAGAAACAGTCTCAAAGAGCTGGGAAAGCCCCAGAGGGGTAATAAATATGGGGAAAGGGCAATGGAGTGCCAGGGGAAGGAGGGGTGAGGGAGCTGGTGCCAAGCTGCTGCCAGCAGTGATGGTGGGGACAGGGAAGGTCACCACTCCCCATATCCCATGTGTTAGTGACGTCATTTCCAGAAATTAACCCAAAATGTTTAAAAAAAAACCAAAAACATTTAGAATCCATCACCTGACCACCATTAAGGGCCCAATGGGCAGAGCCCTGGTCATCCTGGTGCCACCGCACTGGGGACATCGATCAGGGGGCAGCCCTTCCTTGTCCCAGGGACATTTCGACTGCCATCCCCCCACGTGGTGCCCAGGGGTTGTGTGGTGCAGTGTCTGAGCCCCTCACCTTGCATCAGGGCTGGCCCCGAGGAGGATCTGGGGGTGTCACATGGCAAGAGTGCTGTCCCCAAACCGGGCTGCGGAGGGGCTGCCCTGGGAGCAAAAGGAGATGTGGTCATAGGGATGTGACATCCATCTCCCTGCCACCATTGCCTCTGCCATCCCATAAATATCCCTTCTGGCCACTCACACCTGATTATTTTTTTTTCAATAAATGTTGAAGTTCTCACGGTGCTGGAGAGCCCCAGAGCAGCTGGAAGAGGCCTGGGGATGAAGGGCTGTCCCCACATTTTCAGTTGCAGAGCATTCACCATCAGTGCCCTCATTAGGCTTCAGAGTTAACACCTCCCAATCCCAACACAGCATCGCACTGATTTCTCCAGGAAAGACCCCAAAAAGCGACCACTCCTAGCCCCCCACTGACCCCTGTGACCCCAACCCCACGGTTGTCCCCAACCCACATCCTGCCCCCCCCAATCCCTCACCTCAGGGCGGCTGTCAGTGCTTTTCAGCCACGATGGCTTCGTGTTGGTGGGGAGAGGATCACCTCCAACACCAGGCTTCTGCTCGGGGATCCGGGACACCCGAAATCTGCATGGGGACACTCTGTGAGCCCACCCCACCTTGGGATATGGGGTGGACAAATGGGATCCCCCCCAGCTCCACGTGCTCACCTTCCAATGGAGAGAATGGTGATCTCACCGGCGGGTCTGGTGGCTTTGGTGGCTGTGGGGGATGGCAGCACTTGGGGCCACTTCCTCTGGCTGCATCGGGTGCAAGGGGGGTCCGAAGGGGGAGCCGGGCCGTGCACTGTGTGCAGGTGCTGCTGATGGCAGCAGGAGGGGGGAAACTGAGGCAGGAGATGCAGCCTGTGGGGGACAAGGAGTGATACGAGCCATACTGGGGATCAGTGGGGCTGGAGGGACTCAGAGGAGTTTGGGGAGCTGGGGGGGAAGTTTCTCACTTGTAGGCAGGTTTGCAGCCCACTGCTGCTGGCTGCATGCTCTGATGCTCCTTCAGCAGCTCCTCCAGTGCTGCAGCATTTTCTGGAGGTGGGGGAACAGAGAGAGTCACCAGGAGCCACCTGGGGATGGCAGAGCCTTCCCTGGCCATTGGGGGGCCCCTTCCCCCTTCCTGGGGGGCTCCCGACCTTTCTTCTCTGTGATGAGGCGCACCAGGACCCCGATGGTGTCCTCATTGGCATCCTCAATCTGGTAGATGGAGCTGGGACCTGGGGACAGATGGAGAAGGCATGAAGAGAAGTGGCCATGGGGATGGGCTCAGTGCTCTCTGGGCCATAGGGGCAACGTGGGAGCAACCAGACACCATAGGGATGGGCTTGATGTTCTATGGCCATAGGGACAACATGGGGGCAATCAGATGCCATGGGGATGAGCAGGATGTTCCAACCATAGGGACAAGATAAGAGCAACCAGATACCCATGGGGATGGGCCCCATCCTCTCCATGGGTTCCCATGCTCACCATGGCCATAGAACACCACGGTGACCAGGGGATGCTCCAACCACTGGGACAAGATGCGAGCAACCAGACACCATGGGGATGGGCTTGAGCAGATCAAGTTGGCTTCAGGGTGGCCAAGCTGGGTCACGCCTAACACCAACCTCAAACCAACATCATCACTGGGCCACATTCTGATCCCTTTATGGTCCCCAACTACTTGGATTCAACGGCAACCAGAGGCAACCCCAGAATACTGGGCGCATGGGACTGGGGCTCACCGCTGGTGTTGTGCTCGTGTTCTTTGTGTGCGGTGCAGTGGTAGCCCTTCTTCTTCAGCAGGTTGCACACCAGGATGCCCAGCAACCCCATGGCACAGAACACGGGGACGATGGCCAACACGGCCGACTGCGCCGCCGCCGCCTCCTCTGGTTGAACCTCCCATGTCTCATTGGTCCCTGATGGTCCTCGAGGTGTCACCACACTCCGGGCTCGCCGTTGGCCTGCAGTCAGGGTTGGATTTGGGAAAAATTTCCCATTGGTGCCATGAGCACCAATCCTGCTCCAAATCCATCATTGGGTTATTTTGGTACTGAATCTTCCTGAGCTGGATTTGGCAGAGTTCTCCCGTTGATACCATGAGCATCCTATGAGCGTGAGCATCCTATTCCACCCCAAATCCATCACTGGGTTATTTTGGCACTGAATCCTCCTCCTGTGGTGGACTTGGCAGAATTTTCCCATTGGTGCCATGAGCATTGATCCTATACTCACTCCATCATTTCAGTATTTTGGCACCACATGCACTCATGCTGGATGTGGGAAATTTACCCTATTGGTGCCATCACAGCTCCTACCCCACATCCATCACCACGTCATTTTGGCATCAAATTCTCCTCCTAGGATGAATTTGGCAATGTTCCCCCATTGGTGCCACAAGCCCCAGTCCCACCCTCACTCCATTACCTCATTATTTCAGTACCACATTCCCCCATGCTGGATTTTGGGGTTCCACCATTGGTGCCACGAGCACAACTCCTACCCCAAATCCATCACCGCATTATTTTGGCACTGAATCTTCCTGAGCTGGATTTGGCAGAGTTCTCCCATTGGTGCCGTAACCTCTTCTACCCCAAATCCATCACTCCATGCTGCAAAACCCACAGCTGACCATGCCACCCCTCACCCACCTGTGCAGCCTGGGGTGCCATGGGGCGCAGCAGAGCAGGGCAGGCACCGGCCTTGGGGCTCCCTATGGCCATCAGGGCTGTAAAACCTGTGGGATATGGTGAGATGAGCACAGTGGTATCCATACAAACCCCCCCACCTCCCCAGTGCACGGCACCCCATGCTCACCCGTGCACGCAGGCACACGGTGCGTCCCCTGCAGAGGAAGAGCCAGGGGGACAGGGGCGGCAGCTCTGTGCTGTGCTGCACGTCTACAGGGAGGGAAAGAGGGTGGTGAAGGGGTGCAGGCTGCATGGCACGGGGTGGGGGCATCACCCACAGGCAACACTCACCCCAATGGGTTCCTCTCCAGGTGGGCATCGCAGCAGCTCGCAGGCTGTGGTCCCCATGCAGGGGCTGCTCAGCACCTGGGAGAGAAGAGAGGTGTTCAGTGGGGTGCAACAGGGGAGAATGCATTGCAAAGGACAGGATGCAAAGGCATTGTGAGGGATAGGGCAGGTGCAATCCCGTTGCATGCATCGTGGTGGGTGCAATGCTGTCACAAGCAATGGGATGGAAGCAAAGCTTGCTGCATGCGCTGCTGGGGATGGGATGGATGCAAAGCTTCATGGTGGGTGTAATCCCATCACAAGCAATGTGATGGCTGCAAAACCACTGCATGTTTCATGGTGTGGGTGCAGACGTGCAATGCAATGGGATGGGTGCAATGGGATGGATGCTCCATGGGGGGTGCAAACTTGTCACAGGCAATGGAGTGGGTGCAAACTCATTGCATGCACCATGGTGGGTGCAAATAGGTCTCAGGCAATGGGATGGATGCAAAAATACTGCATGCACTGTGGATGGGATGGATGCAAAACAATTGCATGCACCATGGTGGGTGCAAATAGGTCCCAGGCAATGGGATGGATGCAAAACCACTGCATGCTCAATGGCAGGTGCAAATGCACCACAAGCAACGGGACAACTGAAATGGGATGGATGTAAACTCACTGCATGCACTACAGTAGATGCAAACTGATTACAAGCAATGGGATGGGTGCAAACCCCCACTGTGTGCACCATGGTGAGTGCAAACCTATCACAAGGAATGGGGTGGCTGCAAAGCCCTTCCGTGCACTGCAGCTGATGCAAACCTGTCAGCAGCAAGATGATGGCTGCAAGACCCCCACATGCACTGCAGCAGATACACACCACCCCAGTTCTGCAACAGCCCAGTTGCTGGATGCACACCCATTGCAAACAACACAGAACTGGGGCCATGTGGGGTGGAGGACAGTGGCAATCCCAGAATGGGAAACTCCATGGGCCACCCCCAGAGCAAAATGGGACATCTGGGGGCATTTGGGGTTTTAGAATTAGAAGAACCAAGAAGAGATGTGCAGAGGGATGGGATGAGGCTGTACTCACCACCAGGACAGCAAGGAGCCACCAGCACATCCCCAAGCTCTGCAGCCACTGGGGCCACCTGTAGGGACATGGCACAAGGAAACTGTGTCACTCCACCCTAATTCCTGCTCAGGGGACAGCAAGGGCTTTTGGGTCTGGGGCACAAAAAGCCCACATAGGGGGACTTGGGAGGTTATCCACAAGCACAGCCTTTGCAAGGGAGCAGTCAGCTGGAAAATAACCTTGTAAAAGGGGAAGAATTGGGTTATTTCACAGCTGGAGTGCTCCCCTGGCCCTATTTGCTGCAGTGCAGCCAAGCAGCACAGTTGGGTTTGGGATTACTTCCCAAGTCTTGAGGTTTTCCTTGTAAAAGAGCAAAGAACCTTCACAACTAGAAAAAAACCCACAATACTAAGCATCATTATAATAGAACAAAACATCTCATGACCAAAAAGCCCCAATATTTTGCATCCTTACCCCAATATTTGGCACCCTTGTGCTAGAAAAAAATACCTTCAGGACCAAAACCTCCAATTTTTTGCATCCTTACCCCAGTATCTGCCATCCTTACAATAAACCAAAACACCCTCACAACTAAAAAAAACCCAATATCTTACAGGAGCCCTTTTGGGTGCAGTGGAATCACAGCCCATTGTGACTCAGCACCGAAAGGAAACCCAATTTTAGCTCGGTAGGAATCCAGCACTCACACCTCCCACGCCTTTTAGGGCCGCTCACACAATCCCACTCCCTTCCTGCAGAGGATTTGCTAAATCTGATTGCAGCTGAACTCCAATTTCTCTCCCAGTGCCATTGGCTCCAGTGTCCCCAGTGCCATCGGCGCAGCTCAATGCACTCCCTCCAGTCTCGTTGCGTTTAATTGAAGGCAAATCATTAAAAGCTGATTGGAAGTTTTCCCAGGAATGGAGTGAAATCCTTGGCGAGGGCCCCAGTGTGTGTGCTCAGAAATTCATCAGGGTTGGCAAAATAAAACAGAACATGGAAAATCCCAACATCTAAATCAGCATTTCTGGGCTATTGTTGGGACGGGATGTGCATGCATAGGGGCAAAATCTCAAATCTCTGAGTTCTTCTACCTCCAGTGCTGCAAAGGAGAGAATTATTTGGGGATCCAAATTCTCCCTCCATACCCCACAATGCTTGGTTTTGCTCTGGGCGATGCTGTTATTATATCAGACAACGCTCATCCAATGCTCTCAGGACCCCATCACTACCGCCAAAATCCTATTAAAGGCCTTTGAGTGCAGCTCTGCCCCTCTCTGCACGTCCCAAATCTGCTGGGACCGGAGGCACTGAATCTCTGCGGGGGAAGGAACAGATGCTGCAAACCTTCAGCACGGATATTTCCTGCTCTGGAGCAAAATGATCGGCATCCTCCCCTGCACAGCACTGCCCAGCCCCGGCGCATCACTGCAAAGAGAAATAAATGCATACATACACAATTAAAAATGTATTTCTAAGCAAGCAAAAAAAAAAAAAAAAAATTATTCACCTCAACCCAAAGAGCCTTTCAGCCAACCTCAATCCAGTGAGCAGATCCCTTCTGCCAACACCGACCCAACAAGTGGATCCCTTCTGCTGACACCAGTGATGGATCCTTTCCACCAACCTCGACCCGATGAGAGGGTCCTTTGGGCCAACCAAATGATGGGTCCTCTCTGCTGACAGTGACCCAATGAGCAGATCCTTTTTGCCAACCCAATGATGGATCCTTTCTGCCAACCCCAACCCTTTCTACCAACCCCAATTTGACAATGGGTTCATTTTGATGATGCCAACCCAACAAGTGGGTCCTCTCTGATGATGCCAATGATGGATCCTTTCCACCAACCCCGACACAACAAGAGGGTCCCATCAACCCAACGATGGGTCCTCTCCACCAGTGCCAACCCAGTGAGCAGGTCCAGTTCACCTATCCAACGATGGATCCTTTCTGCCAACCCTGATCCAACAAGTGGCCCTTTCCATCAACTCAAACCTAATGATGGGTTCTCTTTGATGATGCCAATTCAGCGAGCAGGTTCTTCTCTCTGATGATGTCAATCCAACCAGCTGGTCCTCAACCACAATGCCAACAATGGATCCTTTCCCCCAACCCTGACACAACAAGAGGGTCCATTCCATCGACAAAACAATGGGTCCTCTCCACCAATGCCAACCCCATAAGCAGATCCAGTTCGCCCACCCAATGATGGATCCTATCTGCCAACCTCAACTCAACAAGCGGCCATTCCACCAACCCCAACACAACGATGGGTTCTCTTTGACAATGCCAACCCAACGAGTGGGTTCCCTCTGATGATGTCAACCCAAAGAGCGGGTCCTCTCCAACAATGCCAATGATGGATCCTTTCCACCAACCCCAAGACAATGAGAGGGTCCGTTCCACTGACCCAATGATGGATCCTCTCCACCAATGCCAGCCCAATGCCAGCCCCCCTTTTCAGCAACCCAGTGATGGATCCTTTCTGCCAACCCTGACCCAACTATGGGCTCTTTCTAAAAACACCAACCCAGTAAGCGGGTTCTCTCTGATGATGCTGCCCCAGTGACGGGTCCTTCAACCGAATAAACCCAAAGACCAAAGCCTTTTTGGGGTGGGTGGCCCCTCCCATAGAAATCCATTGCTAAAATGAACCAACAGCTTCACCATCCTGCAGGCACAACTCATATGCTGCGTGTGCTTGGGGACGGGTGGAAAAATAATTAAAGTCGATTCTGTCATGAAGTAGAAAATCCCTGAATGCCCCTGGGTGTAGTGGGGCATCCCCATAAAGCTGCCCCACGTGACGCTGCTGATAAGGAGTCATTATGTGCTGGAGTGGTTTATAAATTGAATGAATGAGCAATTAGCACGCAGCATCACTCATCTGGGACGCAGCTGCTGAGGGATGGGGGTGGATACAGGCTGGTGTCAGGATGTGAGGGCACCAAGCTGTCCCCCAGTTCCTCCCAGTAGCTCCCAGTCACATGGGGGCAGAAAGGAGGCTCGAGAGCAGCTCAAAGCATGGAGACAGCAACACACAGTCCCAGACTGACCTCAAACCTCAAATACCACAGAAAGCCACAATTTGAGAAGGGAGAGGAAAAGCCAGGGACAGGAGCAGGCAGCAGCACGTGGCGCTGCAATGCAGATCCCCGTGCTGAGCACCCTCCGGTGACCCTCACTGTGCCATGTGTCCCAGCACCAGCAACAGCCTCTTGTGGGGCTGTTAAATCCCCCCTGGGGAGTGGTGTTTGGGGCTGTATGGTGATGCCTATGGGATGGGGAGTGCTCATCCTAAGGTATTTTGGGGTGCTATTAAAGGATTTGTGCACCCGCAGGGGATGGGATGGAGGGGATGAGGGGCACAGTGATGGGTGGGATAGGGGCAGATCTGAGCATCAGCACCTATGGGTGATTGCCCCCTTCCCCCCTCAGCCCTGCCTGCTGGGATCTGGAGAGCATCCAGCCAGCCCTGTGCATCTCATGTCATCATTCCAAAGCCGACAGACACAAAGAAGCTTGGAGAGTTCTGGCACTGGTGATATATTTGGAGGAGCTCTGACAACTCCAGGAGCAGGACTGGCCCCAAAGAACCTCAGCCCCACTTCACAGAATCACAGAATCACAGGGGTTGGAAGGGACCTCCAGAGATTGAGTCCAACCCTCCTGCCAAAGCAGATTCCCTACACCAGGCTTCATATGGGGATGATGGGATGCCCCAAGTAGAAGCCAACTACCCAGCCTCACCAGGACCACAATTGGCTGCTTTGTGGGGGAAAACCCAACTTTTGCAAGCCCCAGGATGTGATTTTTTTTTGTACCCCAAAATGAAACAAGCCCTTAAGGGTCCCCTCTCTTAATCCAGCCCACAACTTAAGCGTGCCAGCAGGGATTCAGGGCAGGGTTTCCCCTCCACATACAGCGTAAGGTTTCAGCTGATTGCTCCCAGAGATAACAGAGAACAAGGAGCGACTGTATGGGGACACTTTGGGAACAGCAGCTTGGCCACCTGGGCAGCACAAGGGGGGATTATCCGGCTGAAACCCAATGCTTTCACAACTCTACCACCAAAACCCAACAGCACTGGGGCTGTGGGAACGAATAACAACCCTTCATTGACTCTCAGAATAAAGCCAAGCGATCCTCAGAGTGCCAATCCCCATTTTGGGAAACCACCCCCAGTCACAGCATCCCAGCAGAAGTAGGAACAGGGCTGAAAACGCTGCGATTTTCCATCGTCAGATTAAAGCAAGAGGAAAAAAAAAAAAAAATCCCAGTTCCTATTTTTCCAGATGGCCACCGTGGAGTTTTCCATAACCTACTTTCTCCACTCCTCTTCTGACCTATATCCCCAGCTGGGGGGGCCGCCTGGGGGGCATCTCCAGCTGCTGCCTCATACAGTGACACTTTGGGGACAAAGCTGAGGCAATAAATCCCCCTCACCTCCCTTCATTTGTATTACATATCCTCATAGACGCATCAGCCGAGCCCTCCAATCCCCAAATAACACCCCCCCAGATCGACCCGGATAAGAAACGCCATCCCCCTACCTGTCCCCACCGCGGGGGTGACGCGGGGGTGACACCGACGTGATTCCCACGGGGTCGCCCCATTGATGCGCAGCGGCCGTTCTTTATGAATGAACGCTCCGTCCCCGCGGGCGCGCTTCTCACGCTAGCCACGCCCCCTCCCTTGTGACGTCACAATGCGGGGCTTCCCCCATCCCCCTCGCCCCGCCCCTCCCGCGATGACGTCAGCGCTACGCTCGGAGGATTCCCCCGCCCCTCCCGCGCGCAGCGCCGCCTGCCGGGGGTTGGGGGAGGGGGAGATGGCGCACCCCCGAAAGGGGTTTTTGGGGAAAAAACGGAGAAAAAAGTAAAATCCTGGCTTGGCAAACGCTGCAGAGAGAGTTGGGAAAGATAGGATTTCTTTTGCCCTGTGTGGAGTCTCTGTAAGGGCACCCTGGGGTGCTGCACCCCAATGTTTACAGTGCTGAATGTCACCCTGCCCCCAAATCCCTTGGGGCAGCTGTGGGACACCGCGCTGAGACCCTTTGTGGGTCTGGATCTGCTTCCTTTGTCCCAGTGGTGTCCCCATGGAGGCCACCTCCTGCATGTCACTCAATATCCCCACCCAATGTCCCTCACCCCAGTGTCCCATCCTCACCCAGTGTCCCATACAATGTCCCCATCCTCACTCCAATGTCCCCACACAACGTCTCATCCTCATCCTAATGTCCCCAGTCAATGTTCCCATCCTCACCCAATGTCCCCATCCCAGTGTCCCCATCCTCACCCAGTGTCCCCATCCTCACTTCAGTGTCCCCATCCAATGTCCCTATCCTCACCTCAGTGTCCCCATCCTCATCCAGTGTCCCATCCCAATGTCCCCATCCTCACCCAGTATTCCCATCCAATGTCCCTATCCTCATCCCAATGTCCCCATCCTCACCCAGTGTCCCATACAACATCTCCATCCCCACTCCAATGTCCCCATACAGTGTCTCATCCTCATCCCAGTGTCCCCATCCTCACCCCAATGTCCCCATCTTTCACCCCAATGTTCCCATCCTCACCCAGTGTTCCATACAATGTCCCCGTCACCACCCCAATGTCCCAACCCCAATGTCTCATCCTCATCCCAATGTCCCCATCCAATGTCCCCATTCTCACTTCTTTTTTCCCAATCCCAGTGCTTCATCCTCATCCCAATGTCCCCATTTTCACCCCCACATCCCCATCCTCAACCTGTTATCCCCTTTCTGATGTCCCCATTTTCATTCCAATATTCCATTATCTTCATCCTCACCCCAATGTCCCCATTATCATTCCAGCATCTCCATCCCACTGTCCTCATCCTCATGTTCCCATCCTCACCCTGATGTCCCCATCCTGATATCCCTGTCCTTGCTCCAGTGCTCCTGCCCTGTTGCCCTAATCCTCACCACAAAGTCCCTGTCCCAATATGCCCACCCTCACCTCAATGTCCCCATCTTGATATCCCCATTCTCACATTGATGTCCCTGTCATATGTCCCCGTTTTCACCCCCATGTCCTCATCCTCACTCCAACGTGCCTGTTCTGATGTCTCCATTTTCATTCTGATGTTCCTGTTCCAAAGTCATCCAATGTCCCAATCCCATCCCCCTGGATGGGACACTGGGTGAGGATGGGAACAGTGGATGGGGACACTGGGGTGAGGATGGGGACAGTGGGTGAGGGTGTTCTGACATCCCCATTTTCACTCTGATGTCCCCATCCTGATGTTCCCCTCTTCGTTCCAATGTCCCCATCCCAATGTCTTCATCCTCACCCCATTGTCCTCATCCTCACCCCAACATCCCCATCTTCATCCCAACATCGCCATCTTCATCCCAGTGTCTCCATCTTCATCCCAATGTCCCCATCCCAACATCTTCATCCTCACCCCAGTGTCCTCACTCTGATGTCCTCATCCTCACCCCATCGTCATCCCAGTATCCCTGTCCAAACCTCTTGCTCTTCACCATGATGTCCCAACTGCCGTGTCCCCATCCCAACACCTTTCTCCCTGCCCAACATCCCCATCCTCACCCTGTCCCCATCCCCAGGTGAAGGACAAGACCGTGCTCGGGTACTTCTGACACAGATGACCTTTAATGACAGAGAGCCCTAACATGAGCAAACCCACCCCCAAACCCCATACTATACAGAGCATCACCCCCCATGCTGCCATCTCTCCCCACAATACCCCCTGCTCAGACGGACAGATGGATGCAGTGTCTCCATCACTCACTGGGGCTGGGACATCCCTGTGTATCTGCACTGTGGTTGTCATCTCCCCATGGGGCACAGACACGACAGGGACAGTGGGATGAAGGCAGGAAAATGGGGGAGTGGGGGGGGGGAATGTAGAATGGGAGAGTTTTAGGTTCTAGTTGTAGGTTTTGGGAGTCCAGCTGTTTGGTCTGAAGGATGCTACGAAGAGCAGCAGTGCTGTTGCCCCATGTCCCCATAGGGCACAGCACGAAGCAGAGGTGCCTCAGTCCCATCTCACTATGGGATACAATAGGGAGCAGTGGGAGTTGTGGGGTCCCACAACTATGGGGACCAGCAAGCTGCAAAACCCCACAGAAAGCGTGGAATAAAACCCCAATTTCTCCCCTTCTCCTCTGTGTTCCCCCCTTCCCTGTGTGTGCCCCCAGCCCAACCAGCAGCAATTTCGGGACACCCCCATGTGCGTCCCATTCTCCAATCCCCTGCAGCCTGCGAGAAAATCCTCTTTGAATACCCAAAAAGCCCTTTTTCCCCCATTGTGTCACCCATCCAGCTCCTGACACAGCCAGTCCTGCGGCGTGTGGCTGTGGGGGACCATTTGGTGACCCTCCCCCAACAAGAGGTGTGATGGATGTGGTGGTGGCACATCGGTGACACTGTGGCTGTGACGAAGTGGGGGGGGAACCCTCTGTTGATGGGGTCACGGTCACTGTGGGGATCCTTCTGTTCTAGGGTTGGGATAATGGCACAGCCCCCTAACCCTAATCCTAACCCTACACTTAATCCTAACCCCATCGTGCCCCTCCTTCCCCGACAGCCCCATCTCTTTACTACCCTCCCTCCCCATCAAAACGAAAGAAAATAAATAGGGATGTTTATATATATAATATATATATATATATATTTAAAACAAACGAACAAACAAACAGAGTTGTCTGGGTGCTGGCGATGGAGCGAGCGCGTTAGCGGGGGGGCCCGGGAGGGGTCCCACACCATCCCTGGGGCGATCCCCGATGTGGGGTATGGGGGTGACCCACCTCCCCCCTCCCCCAAAGCAGGCACACATGAAACCGGGGCGAAAGGCAGCGGCGCTGGCCGTGTCCCCCCCCCCCAACCCCCATCCCAAAGCTCTGTCCCAATGGGCACGGCTCCCCCCAACCCCCCCCTCCCTCCCCCCACTTCCACCCCATATCTCCTCGCCCCGAAAGCGGCGGTCGGGGTGGGTTCGTCCCCCCAACCCCTCCCCAGAGCACACAGAGAGCAGCCGGGCTGGAGATGAGACGTGC